TTAATTATTGTAATTTTAGAAATATGTACCTACTGGGGTACATTCCTAAAGATAACCGTATATATTTGGCAGATAAGGTATAATTGATATTTATTCTTAATAAGTATATATTTATTTGATTAATTTGGTTAATTTGTTATGATAGGATGTCAATGTCTATAGCTATGCACTTTCCTTGACTGTCATTGAATATCAAACTGCAATTCTTCGAAACGATCTTGAAACAGCTGAACAATTGCTTCCTTCGATCCCTGCGGATCAAAGGAATCGAATTGCAAGATTTTTAGAAAGTCAAGGTATAGTGATTAATTAAGAATAAAAAATCTATCAATTGCTTATTAAAAAAATCTTATAATTTATCAACAGATCTGAAAGAGCTCGCTCTTGATGTATCAACCGATATTGAGCACAAGTTTGAACTTGCAGTTCAACTTAATAAACTCGATATTGCTGTTGAAATTGCTCGTGAAGTTGGTACTGACGCGAAATGGAAGATAGTTGGTGATTCAGCTTTGAGTGCCTGGAAGGTTTGTGTTATGAATAACTTTATAATCAATATTCAACAAAAATTTACTCTATTATCATTTTCAATAGTTCTCTCTGGCTGAGGAATGTCTTAAAAAAGCCAAGGATATGAGTGGCTTATTGCTTTTATATACTGCCTCTGGTAATTCACAAGGAATAAAGGAATTGGCTGAAATAGCTGGTGTGCTTTTTTTGAACAATCTTATGTTCTCAATAGCTAGTATACAGCTAGTATATTTGAGCTAATCTCTAGTTTTAATATAGTTTCAGATGGTAAGAACAATGTAGCATTTGCATGCTACCTACAACTCGGTCAGGTTGAAGACTGCATAGATCTGTTAATAAAAACTGACCGTATTCCGGAGGCTGCAATGTTTGCCCGCACATATCTTCCTAGGTTTGTACAGGGTTTACATTTTTTTTTTTTTTTTTTTCGTGGGATTTTTGTAATTAATGTGATTATTTATATTGCAAATATATAAATATAAAAGTCAAGTTTCAAGGGTTGTGAAACTATGGCGAGAATCGCTTGAAAAACAAAATAAAAAGAAAGCAGCGGAAGCATTAGCAGATCCAGCCGATTACGAAAACTTATTTTCAGATTTCAAATATGTAAATTTATTATAGGTTCTATAAATACAAATATAGATGTTATATGTATTAACATTGATGATTTTCATTTAAAGGCCCTTATTGCCGAAGAACTTGCCAAAAAGACGCGCAACACCGTTGCTCCAGCCACATCATATGCAGAATACAAAGACGGTAATGATCAAGACATATTAGCTGGTATGTAAAGTCTCCCTACATATTCAATATAAAGTTTTAAATTTATGATGTAAGAAATTAAGGGTATACTATGTCGCAATTAGAAATAAAAGAGAAATACCCGGATGGCATTCTACCATCAAACTTGGCTTCTCCTAGCAGTCGTATGGTAAACAGCATAGCACGAAGAAACGTTAACGGTGATATCGATGATGATGTACTATCATCGGTTGCTTCAGTTGATGATGATCGTGACAATATGAGCCTTTTAAGCATGGAAGGTAAATAAAAAATTTTTTCCTACATTGCTTCACTTTTGGTTAATCTTTTTTTTTTTTTTCCAGTAAACACAACTGGTACTGGATCAGTTCGGGTATGTTTTATTATTTCTACTATCATTACTGTCATTTATTTATCAATAATTTGCCAACAACCATATTCTACAAAAAATTAGGGTGATGTTGATTTTGATGATTCTGCTTCATATGCAAACTCCGAGCAAGACTGAAATATTGATCCAATTATATTTTCAATTGTTGGTTTGAAAAAAAATGCGAGGGATTAAAATTATTTAGTGACATTATATGTTTAATAAACGTAATAGAGTATTTTTTGATTTATTAATTTATAATAAGTAAATAAAAAAAGAATTTCATATGAAATTTTTTTATACCTATTCTATGTCGTAATTTTAAGTTAAAATCAATTATTTTTCAGTGGCTACCACCTAAAGCCATTACCTTTTAATTATAAAAATTTTTAAATTGGTATAACTTTTTAAAAACAGAAGATATTTAAAAAATTTTTTGATAATTTAATAGCTTTTTGTTTAAACTATTAAAGGGTATTCCGCAGTTGAAGGGTATAAATTACATAGTAAAATCGGCGATTTACTAATTGCCTTATATAGAAATGGAATCCCATGTGTTCCGTTCTTAAGAAAAAACCTATAGTAAAAAAATCAAAACATACTCATTTCTCGTGATACATCTAACCAATTTTGATGATTTTACTTCTATTAGAATTAAAAAAATTAGTCCTACAACTTTAATTAGAAGTTAAAAGAAAAAATACTTTGATATGTAAGCAAGCTAGATTCCTGTACTATAAAAAAAACATATGAATTTCCATTTTTGTTTATTATAAGATCTGCAATTTTTTTTTACCTCTTTAGAGGCAGACTACTTTTTAAAAATTTTTAAATATTTTTTGTTTTTAAAAAGTTATATTAATTTAAATTTATACAGTCAAACCTCTCTATAGTCACCTCCTATATATATATGTATATTTTTTTTATAAATTTATTTTTTTAAAAATAATTTATTATTAAATATAATAAATTTAACCTCTATAATTGGCATACTTCTTTACAATCATGTTGTTTTGTATTCTAAGTGTGTAATTATAGAAAGATTTGACTGTGTATAATTCAAAATTTTGGCATTTATATATAAAAAAACAACAAAATTTAAATTTATTAACAAAATTTTAAATTTTATTAATAAAAATTAAACTTGTATTAAGTTTTTTTTATATTTTTATTGGACAATTAGGTTACACTACAGCTAAAAAATTGGCATCTATATATAAAACATATTGGCTTTAGATACTGTATTATTTGGCTAAAAGATATTTTTTTATGTTTAAGCAGCTTGGTAATCCTGTTTACTTCTTGTTTTGCTCTATCTATATTTGATTTTTGTTGGTTTCTTAATAAGATCCAAACCTCTAAAAACCATGTTGATTCTTTAAAACTTTTATTCCTTTTGACATCAATTTTATACAAAATGACATTTAATTTCATACAAAATGACATTCAATTTCGTACAAAGTGACATTTAATTTCATACAAAATATTATTTAAATTTATACAAAGTGATATTCAAATCTGTACAAAATGACAATTAAAATAAGGTTAACTAAATCACAATATCTCGTGATATAGTAGTTCAATATAGAAGATTTTGGTATTATTCAAATTGTCTCATCAAGAGGATTTAAATAGTACCAAAATATTTTATATTAGGCCACTATATCACAAGATATTACGATTAAATCAAACTTATTTTAATTGTTATTTGTACAAATTTGAATGTTACTTTGTATGAATTTAAATATCATTTTGTACAAAATCGAATATTAATTTGTATGAAATTAAATATCATTTTGTATAGGATGTGGTGACATAGTAAAGTGGTTAGGTTGTTACTCCCCAAGTAACAAGCCCAGAGTTCGAATCCCATCTGTAACAGAAAATTCGAAAAACTACTTGTGTAACAGTAACTATTTAGTGGAAATTGGATTATAAGAATCTGTAATCTGGGTCTAATCTTCTAACAAAAGTAGTCTTATCACGGATATGGAGCATTTGTACTTTCTAACGAAGAGAGTAGCCATATTTGGTTAGGGCGCACATTAAAACCTAGAAACTCTAATTCCGGATGGAAACTTA